ACTGGTGTGGCATTGGGAAGGAATAAACAGAGTGATTGATTCGTGGGAGGCTGAGCTCATGCAGCAGCTGTGCTCAGTGGGAAGGAAGAAGGCCTCATTTTCCATGTTGCCTATTAACCAGTGCTCACAGCAAATAGACCTTTGCTCCCTTTAAAGAAATACCACTCAGCACCACAACGAAAGGTGGCTGACCTGTTTCCCTGGCATGGTGGAGGTAGATCCTTCCCCAAAGCTCTGCCCATCCTGTAGGTTAGAGCCAACAGTGATGGGTGTAGACCTGTCACTGTGATGCCAATTCTGTAGGGAGGACCAGAGAGACATTGCTCACATCACTGCAGGTCAGCTGAGCTGGGACCTGCATCAAAACAGGGACTCTGGGATCAGCACAGAGCAGTCAGGTCACATTAGCGCTGGATCAGGAAGTCCACAAAAGGCTTGGATGTGATGTTAGTGAAAAAAATGTGAAAGCTAGGCACGGCCTAACTCTATTCCCGCTGAGGTTGAGGGTTGCTGATGGCTCCAAGGGGATCAAACTTGGACTCTCGACTTTCTTGTCTAAACCCAAAGTAAGCCAGCCTGGAGAACTGTGCACCAGGCTGCTGCCTATGTGTCTCTTGGAGCATTTGCTCCTGGGTCTGTGCCTCTGCTTCTGCTGCCTTACAGAGGAGGAGTGGTTCATCAGTACTGGAAACACCTGGCTTCTGTTCCCTGTCCCATTCCTGGCTCCTTCTGTGACTCTGGGCAGCTCATTTTGTTTTCCAGTGCCTCAGTTTCCCAGTCTCTGAAAGGGAGACTTCCCTCCCTTTCTGAGCTGCTGTGGGAGTAAGCACTTTAAAGGCAGCCAAATGCCATACAAGCATCTAAGTGACGGCGTAGTGTGACTAAGCCTTCTCCCCACCTTCAAACGGTGCTGCGGAGACAGCTGAGGTAATGCAGCACCTCTCAGCGTTACCATAAATATTATCGCAGCTTTTCATAAGGCGTTTGTGTTGAGTTCAGCTGCTCGAGGCAACTCCCCAAGGAGATTATTAGCTACCTTCCAGTCTCTTTTGCCCCCACCCCCACCCCCTTCCTGACGTAATGCACAGCAAATGTGATAAAACACAACGCAAATGCAACTACTTCAGGAATCTCTTTTCATAGATCCCTTTTAACAGCCCCAGCGCACCGTGATCAGGCTGCGCAGGGAAATGGCTGTGTTTGCCAGCAAAGGGAAGGCTTGGAGACAGCAGCACCAAGTTACGGCAAATATTGTTGACCCACTTCACTAGGATATGAAGCCCTTTCCTGAGCTGTCGCTTGCTTGTCCCCGCATCCCTCCATCCCGGCCCGGGATTAAGCATCGCCCTCTCAGACAAGCCCTTTGAATCTTGATGGGGAGAGTGTCAGATAGCTGAAAAGTGCTTTCACAGGCAGCAGCTGCTTCCAATCACCGCCACACGGAGAGGTTCGCTGGAGAAGCTGCCGCTGCCCGGCTGCATCAGCCCCCGCTGCTGCATTGAGACCCAGCGCCTTTGCCGCTTGCCCAGCATCTTTCCTGCTAGCATCTTCCCCCCGGGGCAGCCAAAGCTGCAGCGATTAATCTGCCCGGTGTCCCCGAGCGCAGCAGCCCCTGCAGGACCCTAGCCCTTGCTCCCTGTGCCACCGAGACACGTCCCTTCTCTCCCAGCTCAGAGGGAGGCATCAACCGTGTTGAGTGGTTATGTTACGTATGGCACCCAGGCTGGACCCAGGAATAGCGTGGGGCTTGCGTAGCCCTGGAAAACTGGCTCTGCCTTCTGTTGCCGCATCGGAAAAGGGAGCGAGGGGCAGCCGCAGCGGTGGGATGCAGAGTCTGGGTGCCCCTAGGAGCCAGCAACAGCGAGAGATGGGGGAGGCGGTGTGCCTCCTGCCTGCCAGCATTCCTCCCGGGAGGCTCCCATGCCGCGGCCCGGCTGCGCTGCCTGCGCAGGTGACGCAGCATTTTGGAGCCCAGCGCAGGCAGCTAGCATCGTGGCAGCCAGCCCCCATGTGCTGAGCACCAGCCTCCGCACAGGCGCTGCTAAATGGCCTTTCCTACCCTGCAACCCCCATTTTGGCAGGAGGTGAGATGTGAGCCAAGAGAGAGCCACGCTTGCCCTGTTCCCAAGGCTTTCTCTGGGGTGGACGTAGCAGCCATTTTATTCTTGCAGAGATGCCAATCTACGTTGCAAAGAGACGCACACCATATTCCCCCCTGGGGCTTTACTTGGTTCTTTTCTTGGTGTTTTTTTTTTTTTAAATAATCTGAAATACAGCTCTTTCTAACCTATGCTGTTGAGGTGCTCTGTCTGTAGAGTAACACCACATTTTTGCTCTGTTATCTTTTCCTTCTAGCCACGGCTCCTTTGAGCCGTTTCTGTGCAGCAATATGAGCTAAAAAGCACTTGCAGTTCAGTTCCGCTTCCTTCCCACAACCGTGTTAAAAATACATAGGCTGCAGACCCCAATGAAACCCGCTCCTTCATGCGTCCATCACAGCGTTCACCGTGCAAGGTCCCAAAGGGACAACTAAGGATCCAAGTTTTCCCCTGCCTGGCACCCTGCACTGATACAAATGCCGAAGTAACACAACCCCTTCTTTCTAAAGGTCTGGCTCAGTCACCCAAGGACATGGTTACCTATGGCAGAAATACGGGAAGCGTTAGCAAATCTCTCAGATTGAGGCAAAGTTTTGTCTCAGGCTCTCCAGAGGTGCAAATCACATGCTTTGACTGATGTCCATAGGGGTCGACACTGAATTACATCCGGTGCGGATCCAATCTTATTTTGCACGGTCACCCACTCGAGTGCCATCAGCCCTTTAGAGGCAGCTGAACCTGCTGCTCTCTCAGCCACGTTTCACAGCAAAACCATTTATAGAATTACAGAGAATCAGAAAATACCTTGCTGGGATTAAGTTTTAAACATCAGGGGATGCTGTAAAGCCTGGCTTTTCAGGATCATAACACCGTGCACAGGCTTCCAAAGAGAGACCGTTATAACTAAAATCATTTCAGAGCATCTCATTTTGTTGTGTTCTGTCTTGGCTTTAAATTTGGGTTTCTGAGACTCCCTCAGAAATAGAATCAAGTATTATGTTTCTCACTTGATAGCTCCTTTTTCCTTTTGGTACCTGACTGTCATTTTTAGCCCTTCAAAATCACAAGGTGTTTAGAGCTTAAGCCTTTCCTTGACACAAGACCTCCACGCCACCCTGTGTCCCGCCCTGGGCAGCTCTTAGCGCCTTGGCTTTTTGCCACGCTCTGCTTTACTCTGCGGTTTACAAGTATGTTCATTTGGGGTTTCTTTTCTTTTTTTTTTTTTTAAATAATGCTTTTGCAGCTCTGTTGGAGCCACCGATGCAATAGCAGCAGCTCTTTCGCGCTGCGGGGATCAACTTGCTGTGCTGCAGAGAAGGGGGCAGCTCCCTGCCTGGGGACCAGGGAGCGACTCCTGCAAGATCTACTGCAAGAGCTCTCACTGGGTCCTTCAGCGTCAGTGACACCCCCTCCTCCTTTGCTGGCCTGGCCAGCACTGCTTTAGGCTCCGCTCAGCCGCCCCCCACCCCAAAGAGCGTGGTTTGCTCCCGGAGTGGAGATTAGCTGCAGATACCCGAGAACTAAGAGCTCGGGTCTCTGCAGGGAATAGATATAGAGAGATATATAAGATTATGTATATATAATAGAAAACATCGGTCCGAGCACCCAGGCTGGGGCCGTAGGGCCGGTCTCACTGCTCGGCTCTGGGTTCGCGGTGCTGTCTTGGGAATAACCTTGGGGCAGGGGCGGCAAATGTTTCATGCCTCCCCTCTGCCTCTTGGAGAAGACGTCACTAACTTGCTCCTCTCCACCGCAAAGCCCGGCTTTTCGTGCTTAGCCCGTCAGCACCTGGGAGACTGCCAATCCATCCCCGGGGCCTTAGCTGAGAGGGCCGAGGTTTCCAAGTTGGGGGGATTCTCCCCCACAAGCCAGCAGCTAGTATTCAAACACCAGAGGCTCTAACAGCTTGCCCAAGTGCATTAGGATCCCCACTTCCTTGCAGCTCTGCCTGCTTTCTAGTTTTTGTGGTGTGCAATGTGCCGGCAGGGCAGGGGAAGGCAATTTTCCCCTCTAAATGACAATTTTAAGGCTACTTCCAGGCTAGCTAGTGGGTACCTTCTCTTTCTCAACAGCAATAGCCACAAGCAAAAAAAAAAAAGGGGGGGGAAAAGGTAAAATAGCAGCCCCAACCACTGAGCTAAACAGCCGTGACCTTGACGGCTCCCTTCAGCATATCGGCATCCTGAAGGACCTGTCCCCTCTGCCTGATCCAGCACTGCGCCAGGGTCTCACCGTGTCGCCAGCAACCCCCAACGCGGCTCGGCTGGCGCAGGCAAAAAGATTGCGAGGGCAACTCCGCGTGCGCAAAGCAAGGCCCCGAATCTTGCAGCCCGCAGGCTTGCAGGCGTCAGCTTGAAGACGGTTGCTTTGCAGTTGAAAGGGAAGAAGTCACTGCAGCCAGACACGGGCCCGATTCGGCGCGGGGCGATGGGGGCCTAATTCGGCGCAAGGCGATGACCTTTCAGGGAGAAAAGCGCAGAGATCTCCAGCATGCTCCAAGGGAAAGCCCCCTGCTTAACCTCGGTGCAGCAAAACCCGAGCGCTCGCTCTCCTTGCTGCCCGCAGGAGGCCGGAGAGGATCTGGGGAAGGACGGCCGGATGCCTCCCGTGCAAAAAAACGCTTGCATGGAGAACTGCCCTGCCCCTGTCTGTCCCCTCTGCAACGCCTGCCTTGCCCTGAGGCCCGACCGAAGGTGGGGTGGTGCACCTCGGGGCTCACCAACCCTCCGTCCTGGCAGCCGGCCAGAGGAGGGGGCACTGGCAGAGGACTAAAGCTGTGCGTTGGGGGGGGAATTCTGCCTTTTCTCCCGTGTCTTGCCACAATATCACGGGGTTAGAGGCTGGTGTTGGGCCCTGCAGCTGAGAAAGGAGCAGAACGAAGGGAAATGCTGAAGGTCAAACCTGTGAAGGTCAGACTTTTAGAGGTCAGTCCTGAGATGCAGCAGAGAGCTCAGTTCAGCATAGTCCATCCTCCCGCTCCCGACAGCATCCTGCCCAAGCCCCACCCAGGAAAACGGGACTGCAGCGAGCAAGGCAGCGCTTCCTCCTACGGCCCCATGGCTGAAGTTTTCCCAGGCTGACCTCCGCTCAAGAATAAAAATCGTTTTCCTTCCATCCGCCCCCATCAGAAAGCACCAGAACCGCCACAGAGCACCGAGTCAGGAGCAGGGACCAAAGCAACAGGTCTTTGCAGACACGCAGGGCACAGATGCACGGAGATGTACGCTGACAGGCAGGAACGTCAGCAGGCTGAAAAGACCAAGACATGCTCCTCTACATCTCATTCCTGGAAACACCCGCCTTGAAACAGGAGCCCTGGTCCGGTGCCCCCTCAATCCATCCTCCCACCCGTTTGGTGCAACTTCTCCTGGTAGCTTAAAGGAGGCACTTTTGCCTCTGCCCCCCCCCCCCCCCCATCACCTTTTTTTTTTTGAATCATCACCTTGAATGCCTTTCCAGCACAGTGTTTGGGGGTCGGGGAGGGAGAGGACAATATCAAAGGATATTCCTCAGATATCAAAGCGCCCTCTCCTACCAGAACAAACCCCAACTTGCAAAAGGCTAAGATTAACAAATGGGGCTGCTGGCTAGTCCCAGCTGCGCTTGTTTGCTTAGCCCTTTGCCTCCAGATCGACAGCAATTGAACAGCCACAGATACCCGGTCAAGGCAGAAGGAAGGGCAAACAAACAAGACTGTGCACGCAGATAGGAGGAGAAACTTCACAGCTGGAACCCGAAGCAAAACCTTTGCCGAGGGTGGGGGAGGGAGGGGAAGGGGCACCATTTTTCCTAATAAGATCAAAATATTTTAGCTAGTGATGCAGTTTACCCCCTCCTTCCTCCTGATGGTATCATTTCCGGTATACAGTCAGCTCCGGTTTTATATAGCCAAAGCCAGTTCTCTGCCTCTACAGCGCTTCTGCAACATGCTGTTCCCAATCTCCACCCTAGGGCTGATGCCTCCCCCAGCCCAGCAGCAACCCCGGCTCTAGTTAGGCAAGCGCCGCACATCCCGCAAAGGCAGCAGGGCTAGAAAGCGGGTACGCAGAGGCAGGCGGGCGGGCTGGCTCTCTCCTACGCACTTGCACTGGTGGAGGTGCCTCTTCTGGCTGCCTGACCTTCAGGGAGCAAAGAGGAAGGAGCTGGAGCGAGAAGGCAACCGCCCCCAGCCAGCCCCTCTGCCCCGGCCTCGGGTGCTTTGAGCAAACAGCACCGGTACCAATGAGCAGAGTCAACAGCGTAGAGATGCCCTCTCCTTCCCGAGCCGGCCGGCCCGGCAGTCCCCTGTCCTTCCTTGCAGGCAGCTGCAAAGAGGCAGACGCTCACCTTGAGCAGGTAGATCTGCAGCTCGCTCTTCCCCTAGGCTGCCCTGAACGCCAGCGG